AGTGCATGCTCCTTATGCACTGTAATCAGTGCATGCTCCTTACTTCTTATGTTATGCTTTAGTTAGGTTCTATTATTAGTTTTTTTTGGTGATGCTTTCTTGTACAGCTGGTGTATTGTGAGAACTAGTACGACCAGACACCCTAAAATAACCTTAATGAAACATAAGGAATTTTCTATCTCAGATCCCAGGTCACAACACAAGTTGGACATCGCTGTGAGACCCCTTCAGCTGGGATGGCCGGCTCTGCAAAACACAATAGACCAGGGGCTCTAACTCCGGTCCTGGAGAGCTATTATCCAGTAGGTTTTTTGTCCCACTTGGCTTCTGATGAGCCACATCTGTTCCTGGTATTTACCTGAGAACAGGTGTGGCTCATCAGAAGCCAGATAGGATAGAAAACCTACTGGACGGTAGCTCTCCAGGACCGGAGTTGGAGACTCCTGCAATAGACCTTTGTTGTGAAGTTGCGTTTTTAGGGATACACAGCAGACAACCAATCAGAAGGATGGTTGCGCTTCCGTGTCTCCCAGCCAGTGGCAGCATTCGGGAGAACGAAAAGGGGGCGTGTCCCGGCGCCAAAACGGGCTCGGGGGCGTCACGTCAGGAAAGAAGACGCCATGAAGGCAGGCGGGCGGCCATTGCTGTGTGTCGTGGCTCTGTGTGGCAAAAAAGGAGGTGGCGGACGGCGACCCGAGGACATATAGCGTTAAGGGTTAACCTGCTCTTTATTTTACTTGCGAGACGATTTAGTCACTCACAATAAAGGTATTAAGTGAGTATTTCGTCCAGTTCTCTTGTTTGTTTCTTATGGTTTTCTTGGTTCCTCGGAGCCTAGCTATTTGCTTAGCTTGTTACTCTTAGACACACAATTCGCAGCTGTTTCTGTTTTTCTTTTTTTCTCCCTGACGTTAAATGGTGGATATGTTTTATGTTGCCGAACAGACCACAGTTAACCAGCTATTCAGTTGTAGGTGTCTGGTGACTGAATCGGGTTTGATTGACACCAGTTAGCATGAGATGCCGGTGTGGTGCTCCAGCTTCCACTTCGTGATGCATGTACTGATTAATTAATTTACTATCTGGTCGATTCTACAAATTTCATTCGTATTGCTGTCCTTAAGTCGCAGTCATGTTACAGCTGGACTCATACCATTTTCGGATCATTGGAGAAGTTTTGGTGTTGATGTTAACAGCGACATATAATACATTTTTAAATACAATTCGAATAATAAATGGTCACAACCGCGGCTGCCTTACGTTTCCCAACATATATGCGATGTTCCTCAAAAATAAATTTCTTCTTGTAATGCCTAAAAGGATCACAATGTTGAAAGGCGACTGAAGATCCGACCTTGTTTTAATGTCGAATTGCCAAATCGTAAATTATTAGAATCCCATTCGATTTCCCATGGGTACGAAGTTGTAAATGCACTACCCGGACTGAAATAATATAGTTTTAGCGTAGGATATAATCTTAGAAAAGATTTACATATACACAGGTAATTTACCTGGTTGAGAATATTCGTCTCTCACTTTGTACTCAGTTTTTGTACTGGGCTAAAGTAACATTCAAGATAATCTGTTTATTAAATCGAAGGCAATCTGAAATCTTACGGGACATGTAGCTATGCTGTCTGCATTCATTCATGGCCAGGTCATACGTAGGGTAAGTGACGTGTGTCTTGCAGTTATTCGCTGTTGATCCATTGAACCTTGTACACAAGTGCCAGGATGTTTCACAATCGGCGCCACAGCTGGTACCTCTATCGGCCTTTACTGCTGCAGATTAAGTGTTGGTTCTTTTAATACGCAGCAGCCTCCGCTGTCCGTTGTCTTATGATTAAACTTCAGTGTGTCTTGTTCACTCAGACTGCTTACATTTCAGTGTCCTTTGTCTTTCTTTTGGACTGTATATCTCATGATTTTTGGGGCATCTCTGTTAAAATACAACCTCAGTGATATTTTCTGTTCCTTTTTCTTCCCCCAGGTCACTTAACGTCCAGATAATGTCCTTCATATTTGACTGGATCTACAGTGGCTTCAGTAGTGTACTACAGTTTCTAGGTAAGAGCCTCTCGGTGTAGTCAATCTTGTTTTATTTTGCCAGAATGCAATTTTATTTTTGTCTTTAGCAAAAAAAAAAAAAATTGAAGCACATCTGTCTTTCAAAGTAATTTCAAGGTGTAAAATGTACAGACCTAATAAGCATTTAAGTCATTGCACAACAAAATGTTAATGCCCTTTGAAGTAGCAGCTTGTCTTTTGAGCCAGACAAAAGGCATAGTGGTTTCAACCATCAGATCGTTATAAACAAGGCTTCGACAGTACCTACTTTCTCGTACTGTCACACCCGGCAGATATACCACGGTATTTGCAATTTTGGCGATATTTTCAAAAGCAATGCTATTCCGGTATTTTGAAATTTCGGCAACACCCCCCCCCTCCCCAAAATGGGACCACAACATGGCATAGCCAATTGCAGAGGTATACTGCATTACTGTAACAGTACGCAAGCTACCTTAATTGATTTTCATAACTATATGGCAGTACACAAGTAACGACAACATGCTAAGTAATGACAGCAGAGCAGTAAAGGGTCTGGATATTATCGCAGGAGGAGACTGCGAAATGAAGGCAGTGCTGTTGGCCTGCACAGAATGTAGCTGCATTGACATTGAATAGGCAGACACAAGCTTCTCTGCGCTCCTTTACCACTGCGGTTCCACTCTGCCTCAGGACTGTATAAAAAGTCTGGCAAGCTGGTGTTCCTGGGACTGGACAATGCTGGGAAAACGACACTGCTGCACATGCTGAAAGACGACCGGTTGGGACAGCATGTGCCCACTCTGCACCCAAGTGAGTCCGTCTCTGCATGGCACCGGCTTTGAGTAGTGTAATCACCGCGGTGGTGTATCCGAATAGTAAGGTGTGTTACACCTGAATGTGGTGACTCTTCTGGCAAATGAAAATACCTCAAGACAGATATTCACTAAAACAGAACAGACCGTAGGCTTGGGTCCGCATTTGTTAAGGAGAAACATAGCGGTTTCTAGATGCACACAACTGTGAAATAAGTGACTAGAAGCAGAGGTGGAAAGTTCAGGTCCAGAAAGTACAAATCCAGACCAAGGTTTTGTTCCAAAAAATCAGTTAAGTACTCTGTGACTCTTCATACTCGGCTGATTGGCTGAGACACAATCTTGGTCTGGATTCGTACTTTCTGGACCTGAACTTTCCACCTCTGACTAGAAGATCCAGTGCAGGTGTTATATTTGCATGGGTTTAGTCAATATCAGTAACAAACTAACTGATTTTGAAAATATTGGGATGTTCTGAAAGTCTTTCAGGGCTGAATGGGCTTTACCTAAGCATAGGTTTTTTTGTTTGTTTGTTTTTCTTGCCAGCCTCTGAAGAGCTGACAATAGCGGGAATGACGTTTACCACCTTTGACCTGGGTGGCCATGTACAAGGTAACCTCCTGGCTTGTCCACATCTTCTGTTTCTCAGTGCACTGGCTGTGCCCATGGGTCTGAATGGCCCTAACTCTTCCCTGTTTGTCCAGCTCGGAGAGTATGGAAGAACTACCTCCCGGCCATCAACGGTATTGTCTTCCTCGTGGATTGTGCAGACTTGTCAAGGTTGGCGGAGTCCAAGACAGAGCTTGATGTGAGTGATCTTACAGGCTTGGTGTGTTTTCATATATAAAGGTAATAGCATTGACTGACATATTTGCTGACCAATACCAACCAGGGATTTTTGGCTGTTGGTAATGTTAATAATCAGTAAATATCAATTGTATTCTAGCAGCATTACATTTGAATGGCCCAATTTGAAAATTTTTACTGAATACTGAAAATATTGTTTTCAATGTGCAAAACTGTATTACATTGTTTCCCAAACCAGTCCTTGGGGTGCACTGGACAGATCCACATTTTTGTTTTATCCCAGTTCCCAGCACACCTGTGAGGTATTTTGAGCTCCTAAATGCTTGGGTCAGGTGTTCTGGGAACTGTGATAAAACAAAAATGTGGATCCATCCAGTGTGCCCCGAAGACTGGTTTGGGAAACACTGTAGCACTATATATCAAAAAGATGGTTAGTTCTTCATTAGTGTACATACTTCAGAGTTATCCCAAAGGAAATTGTTTGAAGGCATGAGGGCTGGCTGAGATCTGAACTCGGGTCTCTGGATTCAAAGTCCACAGAGCTACTCCTTCCACTACGGGAGCAAACCTGATAGTCAATGTAGACTTTCATCCGGTCTGTATGTGAAGCTGCTCTTCCCAAGTGGGTTTTTCCAGTGATAATTTAACATGTGCAGTTAACATTAGGAAACATTTTTTATACTAAAAATATGTGCTGTGTTTACAAAGGAATGTATTTTAGTTAAGTCATGCATGTATTTTTCTGTTTTGGAACAGAATTTTGCTAAGCGGGTTACTGTGCTTTTAAGAAATAATTATTTAGTGGGCAGTGTAGGTCTCTCTGCCTGCTTTGGGGTCATTGCCCAAAGCCGCTGAGTCATGCAGTGCACTTTGACAGTGTGCGCATTGGTCTCGCCACTGGTGGCAGAAGGCCCTACCGGCTGTTAGCATGATCTCCAGCCAGCTTGCAGACTTGCACGTCTTTCATGCAGATTCTGAAGGATGTTGTGATGTTGCTGTCTCTTTTCTCTAGGCCCTTATGACGGATGAGACTATTGGAAATGTGCCTGTCTTGATCCTTGGTAACAAAATTGACCGACCAGAAGCCATCGGTGAAGAGAGACTGCGTGAGCAGTTTGGCTTGTATGGGCAGACCACAGGCAAGGTAGCTTGTTCCTTCTCAGTTTTGGCTGAATTTCCGGTATATCAAACTATGTTACAGTAACTAACGTTTACAGTGGTAATGAGATGCCTTTGCTATTGCCAGGGCAACATCCCTATGAAGGAGCTGAACACCAGGCCACTGGAGGTGTTCATGTGCAGTGTTCTGAAGAGGCAAGGCTATGGCGAAGGTTTCCGCTGGCTATCCCAGTACATCGATTAGAGCATAGCGACCAGGACAGAAGGAGAAACTGCAACCATCGGTCTGCTTTCTGTTCATAAAGCCTGTTTTCACTCAAAATCCACCCCAACTTGAAACCAACAGACCATCTGGATGTACAGTTTCCACTTTTCTAGAAGAATATAGCACTGGCAGTGCAAACTGTTGAATTCCCAACCTTACCCTGAAAAATGTATGTGTCAAACACAGCTGTAACCCAACTTGGACCAAATTATTTAGCTCTCAGCTCTACAAGATCCCCGAACAGCATGACTACTCAGTATAGTTGTTTGCATCTGAGTGCATTTTTTTTATAACTTGAGGGTGGATGTGCAAACAAAAAAATTAGACAATGGTCATGTGGAAGTATGTGTTTTTTTTTTTTTCCCGATAAACCTTCAGTATGTAATTATGTATACTGTCACCTATAGATTTTATTTTGGTTTCTGGCTGAATGGTGCCTTAAACATCTCACCGTGTTTGGACCTGATTTCAATTTGATGTTTGGATTTACTCATGAAAACACATTTAAAAGTTCAGATTTAATTCTTTTCAGTTCAACACATGCTGAATGTTTTAATGCTGATTCTCCGTGAATCCCACCAAGGCCGTCTTAGTCGTTGCATAGAGAACATAAGCCTTATGTGACAGCCTACCTGGACTGCTCCACAATTAGTCATTACCGCACACAAAGCAGACGTGAAAATAATGAATTGCTGTTGAAGTGAAGAACATTCATTCAAGTGTCTTTGTGGCGGTGGACTTGATTGACACAAAGGTTTATGTTGCACAACCGTCCCGATGACGAAACTTTGAATCGTGAAACATGAGGTCCTTGAGAGTTTGGAGGTTGGATTGGTGTAGTAATCGTGGTCTCTCGTCTCGGTTACGAAATTGTAATCACATTAGCTGCAGTCACTAAGGCATGTTGAGGGACCTGCATAGATTGTGGTCACCAGAACTGAAGGTTTTGGTTCATGTTATGAAAGTGACGTGCAAATGCAGAAGCAATATGAAGCTTAAACATAGATGGCAGAGGGAATGAATATTAAGAAATGATCCCAGTCATCAGGTGTATGACTTCCAACAGTAAGCATCCTGTTTGTTCGCTATGTTAAAGATGTGCATGCCTTGGAAGTGTGAAATAAAAATGCTCAAACGAATATCGGAAGTACATTAACGGAGCAATGTAGTGTACTTTTTAAATGTTAGGAGTGTGTTGGCTGACAGATTTTTCTTCGTAATATATTCTGCGTTAACATTCCTCTCACGATATACATACCATTCATGAATTTAAGAGTGTTAATTAACAAATAAATGTTTTGAAGAAAAACTAAATGCTGACTTCTATTCAACCGTAGCAAAAAAAGATGTTGATGACAATCTGTTAGCATGTTACTTAAACTACTTTTTGAAAACACGTAAAAGTACAGATTGTAAAACGTTAACGTGTTAACAACTGAAAATGTTACACTTACAACATTTTCTTACAGACGGACAGTTTAATGCCCCAGTGGTCTCCGGACACGGCTGATACGTAATTTTCTGTATGAACTGATGACTGTCCTTGAAATAACTTATTGTTATACCAGTTAAGACTATGTGCTGTCTGCGGCCATTTTATGTACAAGACACCTTCAGTCTGGAGCTTATAAAACAAAAACATTGATATCTATTCACTTTTAAAATAAACAGTCTACATATACATGGTCACATATAAAACCAAAGACAAGCTATTTGCACGGCTGATCCTGACAGTTTCATACTCTATAGATACAGTGCCCTCTGAATTTAGTCACACTGTACAGTAAATGTAGGCGATGCTTACTACTACACAAATTTGTCTGAGGTCAGAAATATATAAGAAAGTGTTCCAGGAACAAAAATATCAGGAAGTGACCACACCATTTATCTCTTAACGTCATGTAAGCCACACCCACTGCTGACATGCAGGTGTGTGAATAAACACACAGACATGCAACCTGCAGCCTCAAACAATGACAGCAGCTTGGGGGGGTCATACAGAAGAGGTTAGCCAGCCCAGCACCGTCATTGGTCAGCATTGGACACCTTTCCAACAAGTCGCTTCTCCACATTTCTGTCCTGCTGGAGCTGCACTGGTCAACGGCGAGTGAAGTGACTGTGAAGTGGAAACATCTGGGAGGAAGTTCAGCTGCGAGGTGGGGGCCACACAAGCTCACAGAGAGGGACCTGATCACCCAGCATCAATACCCAACCGGAATGGCAGCAGATCCCAGCATCTAATGGAAAGCCCTCCCAGAAGATCAGAGGCTATTCTAGCACCTAAGGGTGGACAACCTTCATATCAATACCCTTTGATTCAGAGTCAGATGTTGGACAAGCAGGTGTCAAATTACTTTTACCCATATAGTGTGTATGTATGAATAAATACGATGTATGATTACAGAAATTAGATCAAGCCATATTTATTCTGTTCTGGGTGAATTTTATTGAATTTTATTTTGCTGCTCTTCAAATTGTAGATGTTCCCAGTCATAATTTAACTTCATTAATGTGGTAGTGTCCGTTGCAACAGAACCGTTTCTGAAATAACATTCTAGCCCAAGTCCTTCATATTCCATCACGTTCTCTGCACCTGCCCCTCCAGCCTGCTGTTTGGCCTCCTGCCCACACTTACACTCCCGCCTCATGCTTCCCTTTCTTACTCTGCAGTGTACTCATTCTGAACTAAGTACACACACGCTATCTAGGTCAGGCTCAAAGCAGATCTCGCTATCCGCCCCTTTCCAGCAGATGCCCCAGCGTGACAAGAAGTTGGCAAGGTGACCTGGGTCAGAAAAGAAAAGGCAGAATCAGCAGAAGATAATGTGAGCTCCTGCAGTTTGGCCAGCTAATGAGCCCAGGACATGCGTGTCATGATGGGCAGATTTTTCAAAAAGTACTTTACAATGCAGATGTGCTTTGATATGAACAAAACCCTCAGCTGCTGGTCTGGTGGTGGAACAGTGATGGACATTAACAGTGATGGATATCAACAGTGATGGATATCAACAGTCATGGACATTAACAGTGATAAATATCAACAGTGATGGATATCAACAGTGATGGATATCAACAGTCATGGACATTAACAG